AAATAGTCACGGGACGTGGAGTAGAGAGTGGGAATGGAGTCAATGGAATTGTAATAGATAAGCATGATATCGGGGGTGGGAGGGCAGTAGATGGGGGAGGGGCGTTGTTACTTTGTGAGGGTGAAAAGGATAACTATTGCATTGTTCTGTACACCTGAAACTAACAATAAAAAAAAAATTCTGTCTAAATCATTCTCTTCCTCAGCATCTTCCGTCTCTCCCCTTGTCTCTTGCAGGCTTCCATCACATGCCAGATCCTCTGTGGTAGAAAATCCTTCCTGTAATCACGCTGTCCCCTCTGGCCACCATCTTACTTCTCTTCCTCTCACCTCCAAACATTCGGTAATAGCTGAATGAATGAACCACTCCTCTCACCATTTCTTGAATCCCCTGCAATTGGCTTTTAACTCCAACATTTCTAACTGAAACTGCTTTTTGAAAAACATCAGGAACTCCACCTGCCCCATGAAAAAATACTCCTGCCGTTCTTGCACTAACTCCCTTCTCTCCTGGGGTGTCCATTCATTCTTCTCCACGTGGCATCTAAAAGAATCACCAGTATAATGGCCTGAGTCCATCTCAATTCCAAACAATTCCGTGTGTTCTGATGTTTGGTCTGGAAATGGCCGGTCACTCTGCCCTGTGCACTGCTCTGATGGCTCTCAGTCCCACCTGAAGTCTAGTCCTACATGTCTAACTGGACATTTCTCCTTGATGTTTCACTATAGCTTCTGATTCAATGATTGTAAAACCCAACCCATCAACCTCCCCCCACAAAATAATGTATTCCTGTTGGGGACCCTCTCTCTCTCTCTCTCTCTCTCTCTCTCTCTCTCTCTCTCTCTCTCTCTCCTCATGAGAACAAATTCTTTGGTTCACCCAAGATAAAAACTCGGAAGTCATCTTTGATTCATCATGTCCTTTCTTTCTCATGTTAGTCACTTGCCAGTGCCCGTCAAATATATTTCCTTCTTATCTCCAATCTAGGCTAATCTTGATTGGAAATCTGAACTAATAGAATTGCTTTCTGCCATCCTAACTCCGGGCTCCGTCCTCTTCAATCTATTCCAGACGTTGCTTCTAACTAATATTCATCCAATAATATTCTTTCAATTACTCTGGTCACCTAAGTGAAGCATGAGCCTCTCTGCCCACCTCTGAAAGCCCTGCACGAACTACTCCCTGAAAATTTATCCCTGACCCTATTTATGTCTCGCTTTATCCTGAAATGAAATATCCACTATGGTGGAGCAGGTTGCGTCCCCTCTGCCTAAGGTCCCATGCTTCCTCTGGCCTCCATACACCTTCATTCACATTGCTCTCCTATCCTTAAATGTCTGCGCTCTCTTACTGGTCATAGATGGTTGGAGTGTTTAAGAGAGAATTAGGAATTCAAATTTTTGAAACTAATCCCAGGAACCATTTGAGATGACTCTGATAGCTAACAAAAACAATGCATTACCAAATAATTGGACAGTAAGTGAATTCTATGTCATATTTACTCCCTATTTTGCAACTTGTTCTAAGAAATGGCAGTGACCCTTTCCAAGAAGGCTTTACCCAGCCACAGTCCACATAACCAAGTTCGACAATCATAGTGAAAATGACTTAAATTTTACCTTTTCTTTTGGATTCCACTCCAGCTTGGTTATAGAAATTAGTGAAGCACAGACAATCACTAAAAAAAGGAAATTGTTAAGGGAAGTGCAGAAGAAAATAGGCCTTTTAATGTTCAGACTAGATTATTCTTCCAATAATATAATAATTATACAGTGTTAAATGCTTCACTTCATACCCACTAGGGTGGCTACTATAAAAAAAAAGTGTTGGCGAGGATGTGGAGAATTTAGAACCCTTGTTCACTGTTGGTGGTTGGTGAGAATGTAAAATGGTGCAGGCACTGTGGAAAACAGTATGGAGTTTCCTTAAAAAATTAATAAAATTGCTGTATAACCCAGCAATTCCACTTCTGGGTATCTACCCAAAAGAACTGAAGCAGATCCTCAAAGAGACATCTGTACATCCATGTTCATAGCAGCATTATTCACAATAGCTAAATCATGGACACAAACCACGTCTTCACGGACAGATGAATAGATAAGCAAAATGTGGTATAACACACAATGGAATATTTTTCAGGCTTAAAAAGGAAGGAAAATCTGCAATATGCTACAACATAGATGAAGCTTAAAGACATGTAAAGTGAAATAAGCCAGTTACAAAAGGACCAGTGGTACATGATTTCACTTACATGAGGTACTCAGAGTAGTCAAAATTGTAAACAGTAAAATAGTGGTTGGCAGGGCCTGGGGGGAAGGGACAGTGAGGAGTTACTGTTTAACAGGCATAGATTCTCAGTTTAACAAAATGAAAAGAATTATGGAACAGAGGTGATGGTTGCACAACAATATGAATGTTTTTAATACACTGAGCTATATACACTTACAAACGGTTAAGATGGTAAATATTATGTGTATTTTAACACTATAAAAAATGTTAATACCAACATTTCTGCAGTCAAACCAAGTTACATTAGCTCCTCAAAATCTCTAACCTTAAATTCGATTAGAACAGCAGTTCAATTATAACATGGAAATACAGTTACTCCTTAGCAATACCTTTCAGTTCGTATAGCGAAATTTTAATCTGCGGCTACATTTTCCTCGAGCCTGTTTCTTGGTGTTGCTCCCAGTTACAATAGTTCTTTAAATTTGGTCAAAATGACTGACATGGCAGTCCAAGATGAATACTTTCTGAGTACTTTTTCCCTAAAATACTATTTTCAAGGCAGCAGCTTTATTAACACTAGTATTTTTAGAAAACTTAACATTTTAACGTACCAAAGCATTACGAAGTATCAAGGCTTATATACAAAACCAAACTACAGAAATTCAAACTCTTACCTTTAAAAAAACAGATTTTTGTTGAGTGAGTAATAGGGTATAAACTGAGTCCTCCCTCCCAAGCCCAAAGGGTTTTACAAATCCAAGGGATATATCCTACATCTGAACTTGGGCCGGCCTGATAACACCAGGGACTGGGGCTATTGTCCTCCATGAACAATATTGTCTGCACAAAGACAGTGACGCCATTTTGATTGAACTTAGAAGGTAAAAGAGAAAGACAGACATGAGAAGCTCTAAAAAAAAAAAAAACAATGAAAAAAAAACGGTTTTAAAAAAGTTAGAAATTCCAACTGTTGCATCAATGCCAAGTTCAGCACCCCCTCTGAATTCAGAGTCAGCACCTCCTCTCCCTGCCCTCCACCCCCATATTTTGCAATGCTTAACACTTCTCAGTTTTTCAAAACAAAAGTAGAAAGCATAGCAGATTCTCTGATCCTTTCATGATCATACTTCTGTTTGTAATAGTTTTAAAGCCCCTTAGGTCTTTCATGTCTGTGTTCTTTTGTTCCACGTCTGGGCACCAGGTACCATGCTGCAGGGGGAGAAGAAAGAGGCAGGGAAAACCCTGGCCAAACGGACTTGCTCCCAGAAACATCACAGCTTTGTCGAAGGAAGCCCAGGACTGGGGGAGAAAAGAACAGCACACAGTGCTGCGTCACTGGGAAAAGTATTAATTTAGAATGGAATGGGGTTTGGGGGTCAAGGAGGGCTTCACTGAGTTGAGCTGAATTTAAGGTGTGAGGTTTGAGTTCTAGAGCAGCACCGTCCCACAGAAATACATTGGGTTGTCGGAAAAGTCATGACGCATTTTTGCAATGAAAAACAGAAAAAATACGTCATGACTTTTCTGACAACCCAATAATGCCAGTCACAGGTGTCATTTAAATTGTTTTACTATAGTAGCTGCGTTTAAAGAACGCTAAAAAAGAACCAAACAAAATTAATTTTAATAATATACCTCCTTTCATCCCGTAGATCAGAAATATTACCATTTCAATTATGTGATCATATAAAAAATGATTGAGATTATTTTACTTTTTTTTTTCTTATTAAGTCTTTGAAATCCGGCGTCTCAATGTGGAACTAGCCACATTTCAAGTGCGCGGTAGCCACATGTGGCTGGTGGCTACCATACTGGACGGACAGCTCAGCTCTTGAAAGACAAGGTGAAGGAGATGTAATCCAGCCAGAAGAGCAAGGGGAGAAAGCACAAAACAGCCAAGTCTGGAGGAGAAAGTGTAAAAATGAGGTCAAAGATATCGGCAGTCTCAGACTGCGTGTCTCAAGCAAAGGAACCTGGATTTCGTGTTGTTAGTGATTTTGTAAAGGCTGTCTGTGTGCTTTTGTTCCATGTTCTGGGCACCAGGTACCATGCTGCAGGGAGAGAAGATAGAGGCAGGGAAAACCCTGGCCAAACGGACTTGGTCTCAGCTCCCAGAAACATCCCAGCCTTGTCGAAGGAAGCCCAGGAAGAAGCTGGTGCAAGACAGACAGTTTACCAGGGAGGGCGGGACACCTGATTCTAACTTGCCTCCGCGTCTTCAGTAGTCAGTGGGGTCGTTTTGCAGAAATATTACAATAAGGAGAAACAAGGGCATTTTAAAGATGCTTTGAAATCTTTGTAAGGAAATAGAAATACCACACTAATGTTTAATGCAAAAGACTTTTTCATACGGATCACTTTGTCTGAATTAGCTTGATTCAGATATGAATCAAGTTTCTTTCTGTGTGGGGCTGCCACCCCTTGACATGGTTCATAAAAACCCTCTAGAAATGGGAACTATTCGTATGTGAAACTCGGAGACTGAAAATGCATATTCTGCTAAAACGTTTTCTAAGTTTACTACCTAGAGATCTGTCTCCAAAGCGGGAAGCAAGGAGACACCAAGAAACATTTCATTTAATACTACAGCCACTTCTGCCATGAATTTTACAGCTAACATAAGCTAAAGGTCTTAAGGTGATAGATTTGAAGAGAAAGCATGAATGTCTTCAATCCATAAATAGGACAAGGAAACTGAGAAGAAACTAGCTTAGGAACCAGAGGTATATATATATTTTGTTGTTAAATTTCTCAATACTAAGGTTTGTTTCCTCAGTGCTTAAAGATTTTGTAATTAAACATTTCCTTCCCTAAGCTGGAAAAAAAGACTTAATATTTTGTAAAGCTTCTATGTTAAAAGAGCAACACCAAGCTTACTATTTAGAAGAGCTTAATATTTAGAAGCACATGGCACTGGCTTGCCCAATTAATACCCCAATCCAACCCAGACTAACAAAATTGTTGCTAGTAAAATAGCTCCCAGTTTTCCAATAATGTGACAGTAATCACTATTTTTAATGACTCTACAGCTTTCTCTGATGAGTGCAGGTGGTATTTTCCACCCCTTGAAGACCACGGGTTGTTTAGTTTCTTTGTTAAATACCTCTAGGAAGAAAGAGAGCCAAGAAAAAGGGAGGGAGGGAGCGACAGAAAGAGAAAGAGAGAGAGAGAGAGAGAGAGAGAGAGAGAGAGAGAGAGAGGGAGCTGTCATGTCCTCTAGAACATACAAGCCTAATAAATTCATATTTTCTTTTCACATTGATTTGAAAATGAAATAAATTTTGAAAATGAAATCAGTAATAAAAGAGAAAAGGCTAAGTGTATTTTAATTGACCTAGAAGTTAATGCTATAGAGCTTTTAAAAACCTCTTACTATGAGTAAATCAAACCAAGGAGTCACCTACGTGCAGGGAAAGGGGAGAGTCTGGCTTCTTGGGACTTCACAGGGCTATTACTATAAGTACAATATCAATATTTGGTGTCTTTAGCCAAGCACTACAAAGGAAAATAAATATTATCACATGGCTGGTGAAACCAGCCCTGTCGGAAGGAAAGTAAACAGAGACTGAAGTTTTCTGACATTTTTCCATCCTCCTTTCATACCATTCTTTGCCCCAAAGATTCTTTTGATCTAACCTGACAATGTTGAGACATTTTCTTAATGATTTACGCTTTTCTCCCAATGGTTCTTCCGAAGCATGTGGAAACTTGGCTGTGAACCTTTGCTTTTTCATGGTTTTTTTTTGTTTTTTGATGGAAGGCGCTTAGGGGAAGGCGTCAAGCTTGCACGGACACTGACAGATGTAAAAAGGATACTGGGGACCACAGCTGCAAAGGAAACAGCAGAGATGGCCATCCGTACATGGCATGTGGAGGGGCTGTTCCACTGGGGACACGATTTGTAAGACATGATGGATTGCAGGAGCGTGTACACAACACCACAGACAAACGCCAGAAGGGCACCGCCGTCGTGGACCACTGGGACAGCTAACTCCTAGACAGAAAATCACAAGTGTAATGTTACTCTGAATGAGTCTGTCCACATCAAGACCCAAGCACTCACTCACCCTGGGCTACTCAAAGCTGTCTGTCTCACAGATGCACCCACCCCCACTTTGGAAAATGCAGCCGCTTGCAGATAACCAAGGGAAAACCATTCTCCCATGATAAAGTAAATGTTTTCCCACAGAAAACTTGGGGACGTGGGACAAGGACAGAATGACATCTACCTTAGAGGTGGCAGAGTTGAGTATGGTTGGCTTTGGAGTCTAGCTGGCCTGGATAAAAATGTCTTGACTCTACTACTGACTGGGCTCTTAGTTTAAAACCTGAATTTCTTTATATGTAAAATGGGCATAATCATTTCTGTTTTGCAGGTTTGCAGTGAAGATTACATGATAAATTATAAAGTACACAACCTGGTCCGTGAAGGTACCAAGGTTTTTAGGCTCCCTGTTCCCCCATAATCTCTATTTGTCCTGCCCAAGCCACCCCAAATGAACACACAAATCTAAGTAAAAACATTGCCCTTGCAATGCAAAGACATCTTCAATCAAAGCCCCCACCATCCTCTAACCAGACATTTCAACAAGAAGGCAATCCCTAGACCCAGTCTAGGCAAAAAATCTGGTGTTGGCCCCAATTGTGCTCATAACTGACCCATCAAGGAGCTCACTTTAGGCTCCTTTCAAATGTGCAGTAGGCACCTACTTTCTGGTATAACAATGATGTTTAGATTGAATGACTGAGTTTCCCCTTGAACTTAAAAATTTGAAATTTGCAAAGGAGCAAATTATTGTCCAAAACAGCCTGGTTTTGGCCCCAGACTCCTCTTGGCCCCAACTCACTGTCCACACCCATATTCCCTGAACTTTTTTTTTTGACCTGGGCCACCCAGGTTTCCCCAGAACCACAGAGTTCTATTCCAGACTGTCCACGAAGAAAACTCAAGAGATCTTTATTAAGATTTAAATCCTAACCACTTCCGGTTTGGCACTGCCAAACAAATTGATTTGAATCAATTTCCACTCAAACTCTTTAGGAAAGGCTTTTTCCTCTACATGGGAAAAGGAAATTAAAAAACAAACAAACAACTTTTAAATTTATTTTCTAACGAAATTTATTTCCTAGTACCAAACTTAGGAATATAGGGGAGAAATCCACTATTTGATTTGTGTTATATTCAAATATGAGTGCATTAATATTCTGCAACATGGCATATCAATTATTCATTCATAACATATAGGTTCTGTATACTTAGGATACCAAGCATGAAGAGTATAGATTTAAGGAAGTTATATAAGAAAAATACAATACATTATACGATTTTTAAAATGTGTGTATACCTTTAAGTATTTAAAGAATTAAGGAAAATAACCGCTGAACTGTACACATAAAAATGGTTAAGATATTAAACTTTATGTTATATGTATTTTACCACAATTAAAAATAGTAATAACCCGGGCCAGCTGAGTGGCTCAGTTGGTTAAGAGCTCGCTTAAGAGTGTGAGCTCTGAGCAACAGCGGTTCGAGTCCTGGCCCAAGCTGAGCAGCCGCTGAGCTGCCAACAGGTGGCAGGATGGCTCAGCTAAAAAAAAATAGTAATAACCCAAAGCAAATGAAATCACTATCTCAAAAAGATATATGCACCACCATGATCATTACAGCATTATTTACAATAGCCAAGACATGGAAGCAACCTAAGTGTCCATTGATGGATGAATGGATAAATATGGTACACACACACACACACACACACACACACACAAATGGAATATTATTCATCCATAAAAAAGAAAAATCTCACCATTTGCAACAACATGGATGGATCTGAGGGCACTATGCTAAGTGAAAAAAGTCAGACGGAGAAAGACCATACTGTATGATCTCACTTAGATGTGAAATCTTAAAAAAAAAAACCCCAAAACCCTGAACTCATAGATACAGGAAACAGACTGGTGGTTGCTAGAGGTGGGGAGGAGAGGGGTGGAGGGAAATGGGTGAGTGTGATCAAAAGATAAAAACTTTCAGTTAAAAGGTAAAAACTTTCAGTTATATAATATAATGTACAGCATGGTGACAATATTTAACAATAGTGTATTTTCAAATGTTGCTCAGAGAGTAAATCTGAAAAGTGCTCATCACAAGAAAAAAATGTAACTGTGAGGTGATGGATGTTAGCTAAAACTTATTGTGGTAACCATTTTGTAATATGTACATATATCAAATCACTATGTTATACACCTTGGACTAATACAATGTTATATGTCAATATCTCAATAAAACTGGGGAAAAAACAACATTAAACCAAAAAATAATAGCAAAAGAATTCTTTTCACCTCTGAATGTTAGGCATATTGGGCAAAGGAAAATAAACAAAAAAGCAAGGCATCTATTGCTAAGGAGTTGTTTTCAGGAGTAATTTTTTGAAAATCTAAGTAGGTCTATATCTTGAATTTATATATTTAGTTTCTTCCCACCAGCGCTGTCAAGAAATTTGCTTCCTCATCCCTGGCCAAGTCAACATATCCTTTAGGATCAATCTTAATCTGCAAAACTCATGGCCCCCCACATTAACCCTGACATTATCAGATCAAAAGGCCCTTAACTGAGCGGGAACTGTATTTAGAAAGTGCCATTTTCACTGTAGACTACCTACTCTCTCATAAAGATGCCTTTTAAAGAGGAACTGATTCTTAGATCAGACATGAATTTTGGATAGAGGATAAGATGAAAACCTAGAGCCCTTTTCTGATCTTTTTCAACACTCTCTTGTTAATTTAAAAGATAGTAAAAATAGAGAAAATTAGAATATTGAGAGGGTTAAACCTTGGAAAGCTTGATTTTTCAAAAAAGGAAACTTCTTGAGGAAAAGGAAAACATTGACAGATTGGTGAGGACACCCCAAAAAGTAGCCATCCCACCCAACCCGTTCAGGAAAGGGAGCTATCTGTGAATTTTCGATAAATGCAATTTACTTCCTACTCAAGAGAAACCACCAGAAGGTCAATGCTCCTTCTTGCCCTCATGTCTCTAATTCTTCTCAAGTTGATTTGCTCATGGCATGCTGGAAATGAATTAAAGGATATTCAACAAGGAAGTTGTAAAGAAGTATTTATGGGAACAATGACAAGGCAAACACTTTGCTCTCAGAAAAGTTATAGATTCTACTTCCGGTTTTTGTAAAAATGTAATCACATCATGGAAACCTTAAAGAGAACCAAGAGTTCAATTATCTAACCATCTAAATTTTCTTCCTAAAGTCTGCCCTTTGTGGTTTAGAAATTGATAGCGCTATCACATATGACATTCAGTGATTTGGAGAATTAAGTGATAGGATATCGTATAGTGCATACTATCCCCCACTGAACAATTCATATAAACACTCTACTAGATAAATTCTATCATTCCAGGTTTCCCTCCTTCCTTTTTTTTTTTTTTTCATTGTGCTTTCTGATACTAGAACTATATGAACTGTGACATGGTTTTTTTTCTCACAGAGATTTCCTCATTCTGGCATTGAGGTCAACTCTTTCCCACAGGTTCTGGACAGGCTGCTTCAAGGCAAGGGGCACTTCTGCCTTTATTGCTCATATGATCTTGGGTAAATGTTAACCTCTCTGGGCCTCCATTTCTCCACTGAGAATGAAGAAAATTATTAATACTGCCTGTTTCCTAAGGTTACTATTAGAATCATATGAGTTGTAGCATTCAATGTTTTCATAAATATGTCACATAGAAAATTTTCAATAAATGAGGTAATAAAAAACAAAATGCATACAGTCATAAGACATAAAGTAATGTCACAGAGTGTCTGTACCATGTGACAAATGTCACATGTAACTATGCATTGCAGCACTGTTTGTCTGATTTTACCATATATGGCAATAAGGGTAGGAAAATGAAATGAAGCCAGAGGCAAATTTAGTTCACAAAATGTCCGCCACGAAGCCCTAGAGACTTGCTTCAGGGAGGCTACAAGATTGCCTCTCATCTTTCTAGCTCCAGTGTGAACAAGGAAGTACTAATAATTATGGATTTGTAACTTTCAAAACTGAAAACTCATTGGCCCTGAGACCTTAGAGAATATCCTGGGACCCTGTAGATTGTCCTGAAGATACTGTGTAATATGAGGAAGGGTGCCATTCCCCTCATCCCACACAATACAGCACTGAGTGTCCCAGAGCACTTCATTATAATGCCCCATCCCCCACTGACAGATGGCATCCCCTATGTACAGCGCAGAAAAGGTGACTCCGGTAAGGCCTATGTGGTGTAGGTCAGACAGAGGGCTCTCTGACAATGGTCCCACTTCATGCAGGAGCAGAAGTGATGGAAAGCAGATGGTGCAGATGGAGGCCTGAGGTTATTTACTATCCTCTCAGATCAATCCCAGGGTGCAGCACCCCTAGGCGGCTGCTTCAGTGTGCGGGCAAGTACTCCAGCAGCCTATTGGCAGTGAAGGTTGACACCATTTTGTGAAAATAAGCATCATACAAGATCAGTCAACTTCTGGTGGGAAAAAAATTAAAGAAGTGCCCTGAAAAAGAAATTGTCCTGGAGTAAATTTCTTTTTGCTGTCACCAAGAGACAACAGTGATGGACGGAACAGGACCACCATAGTGTTAGCCTCTAATGCTGAACCAATGATGACTATGATGGCCGCCACGTGCAGACTGCTGGTTACCGTACATTACCTATTACAGTGTCGAATCCTCGCAATAACCCTATGAGGTGAGTACTATTATAATTAGTATTACTTTGAAATATAACAGATGTTTTTCAAATATTAAACATTGTCTTCATAGACAAATAGGTCCCATGCCTTCCAGTAGGAGACTTCAGCATAAACAGGAATGCACAAATTAGAATAAAACAAGTGGTTTTTTTCAAACACTTGACACAGTAAGCATATATCAAGCAGACTCCACAGTAGTCATCACGTAAGATAACTGGCTCCAGTGGGGCCACATTTTGGCGTGGCAACTAATTAGCTGAAGAAACCCAAACAAATTATTTCACTTCCATGTACTTATATGTATCCTCATCTGTGAAACTGTTCAGATGCCTCTCTTTGAATTGAACACCAGAGGTCAAATAGAATCAGTACACTCACTCACACACACACACACACACACACACACACACACACACACATTGTTCACATAGATATTTTCACACTCTTAGTGAAATCATTACAATAACTGAAGTCGCTCTCCTAACACATCCAACCACATCAATAACAGAGCAATGGCAACACCCATAGTATTGTTCAAAGCACGCTCTCTCATTAGCATGCCACTTGCACCATATCTCTCCTAAGGGCCATGCAGGACTGACTTTCAAATGGTATCTCTTTCTAAAACGCGAACTCTCCCAATTTTTATAAACTCATCTACTATTTGATGGCTATACAGGCACAAGCATGGCTCTTGTGTTCTTGCTTCTCTCCTCTGGACACACATACTCCATCACCCCCAATAACCAGAAAAACTTTTGGTCATACCTGAAAATTGGCTACAATGCCCATTCCAATACATCCCGCCAATCCCAGAACTAACGACACCAAGTTAAAAACAGGAGTGCTGAAATAGCTGGTTTGATTCTGCTTCTCCACTATTTTATATCTTGTGTACATAGTGGCTGCACCTGAAACAGAAAGGGACTGTAATGAATTTTTATTATGTGACTTTTTAGAGTGAAAAACACAGAGACAGTTTTGCATGGCTGTTTTAAAGTTTGTATTTTCAATTTTCTGATGGCAATAGTGTCCCCACTCACCCACTCGTCCTTCCTCACTCTATCTTACTGTCTCCCTAGTGTAATGGATGGACGGACACACAGACACGGACACACAAACACACACATGCTTGGGTGTTACGCTTTCCACATAAATGCTATCATACATGTATTGTTCAGTGACTTGCTTTTTTCACTTAAAAATGTAGCACGGAGATCTTGCCATGTCAGTACAAATAGGTCTATGTCATCATTTTTAGGGGTCTCACATGGAATACAGTGAAATGCCATCTTTGTCTCATCATTCTCCTAGTGACCGATTTCTACATTGTTTCTGTGTATTTTCTATTACAAACAATGCTCAATGAACATCTTGTATGTATAAGCCTTTGGCACACTTTGAGTGTTTATGAAACATGAATTCCTAGAAGTACTATTACTGGGTCAAAAAGCTAAGCACAGGGCCGGCTGAGTGGC